TTCGCTGCACGAGTGGGGAGACCACCAGGGGGCTGTCGCCTTCCTCGACAAGATCGTTGACGTGGGTAGCTGCTGTTGTTGTTGTAGCTGCTGTAGCTGTAGCTGCTGCTGTAGCTGCTGCTGTAGCTGCTGCTGTAGCTGTAGCTGCTGTAGCTGATGTAGCTGCAGCTGCTGCTGTAGCTGCTGCTGTAGCTGTAGCTGCTGCTGCTGCTCGTTGTTGTTGCTGTAGCTGCTGCTGTTGTTGTTGTAGCTGCTGCTGCTGCTGTTGCTGCTGTTGTAGCTGCTGCTGCTGCTGTAGCTGCTGTTGCTGCTGCTGTAGCTGCTGTTGCTGCTGCTGTAGCTGCTGCTGCTACTGTTGCTGCTGTTGCTGCTGCTGTTGCTGCTGTAGCTGTTGCTGCTGTAGCTGCTGCTGCTGTAGCTGCTGCTGTTGTTGCTGCAGCTGATGCTGCTGCTGCTGTAGCTGCTGTAGCTGCTGTAGCTGTTGCCGCCGCCGCTGCTGCGTCATCGTCGCACGGTGGTGACGATGTCGTAGTCATCGTTGTTGACGACGATGACTACGACGATGATGATGTCATCGTCGCACGGTGGCGACGACGATGACGTCGTCATCGTCGCACGCTGGTGACGTCGTCATCGTCGCGAGCGGTGACGACCTCGTTGCGGCGCCCGCAGTTTTGTCACGGCACACGTGGCGGCCCGGGGCGACTGCCACGTGTGTCGGCGTCGCGTTCTCACAAAGGGGCGGGACGGACAGACGCACAAACACGCAACAAAAACCGACCTTCAAGTTCAATAATAATAATTATTGACCAAAATCCTTGACGCAACCAAATGTAGGAATTCAAATCTATTCTTACCCCGCCCCTTCCCCCCGTCGCGTTGTATTTATAGCCGTAAACTTCCCGCTTTTGCGGCACGTGCTCACGTCCATCATCAAGATCTCCTGCTAGCACCTGCGGCTGACGCAACTCGAGCCCACGCGCTCAGTCACTCGCTCGCTCAGTCACTCGCTCAGTCGCTCGCTCGCTCAGTCGCTCGCTCAGTCACTCGCTCACTCAGCCGCTCACTCGCTCAGTCACTCGCTCAGTCAGTCGCTCACTCGCTCAGTCACTCGCTCAGTCGCTCGCTCACATGCTCAGTCGCTCACTCACTCACTCGCTCAGTCGCTCAGTCACTCACTCAGTCACTCGCTCACGTCCATCAAGATCTCCTGCTAGCAACTGCGGCTGATGCAACTCGAGCCCACGCGCTCAGTCGCTCGCTCGCTCAGTCACTCACTCAGTCACTCACTCAGTCACTTGCTCAGTCACTTGCTCAGTCACTCGCTCACTCGCTCAGTTGCTCAGTCACTCGCTCGCTCAGCCACTCGCTCACTCACTCAGTCGCTCACTCACTCAGTCGCTCGCTCGCTCAGTCGCTCGCTCGCTCACCTACTCACCTACCCACCCACTCACTCGCTCACCTACCCATTCGCTCACCTACCCACTCACCCACCCACTCAACTACCCACTCGTCCGATCCACTCACTCACCCACTCACTCACACAGACACTCACCCACCCACTCACCTACCCACCCACTCACTCGCTCACCTACCCACCCACCTACCCACCCACTCATCCGCCCACCCACTCGCTCACCTCCTCACCCACTCATCTACCCACCCACCCACTCACTGACTCACGCACTCACACAGCCACCCGCCCACTCATCCGCCCGCTCGCTCACCTACCCACTCACTGACTCACCCACCCACTCGCTCATCTACCCACTCACCCACCCACTCACCTATCCACCCACCCACTCAGCTATCCACCCACCCACTCGCTGACTCACGCACTCGACCACCCACTCACGCACTCACCCACCCACCCTCTTACTCACCCACCCACCTGCCCACTCACCCACCCACCCTCCCACTCACCCACCCACTCTTGCAAATGAGACTCTTCCTGCTCTCTCGCCTTCTTTCCTCGTTAAAATAAACCTGAGTGAACTTGGCTGCGTGTGTGTGTGTGTGTGCGTGCGTGTGCGTGTGTGTATGTGCGTGTGTCCTTGTGTGTGTGTGCGTGTGTCCTTGTGTGTGTGTGTGCGTGTGTCCTTGTGTGTGTGTGTGCGTGTGTGTCCTTGTGTGTGTGTGTGCGTGTGTGTCCGTGTGTGTGTGTGCATGTGTCCTTGTGCGTGTGTGCGTGTGTGTCCGTGTGCGTGTGTCCTTGTGTGTCCGTGTGCGTGTGTCCTTGTGTGTGTGTGCGTGTGTCCTTGTGTGTGTGTGCGTCCGTCCGTGTGTGTGTGTGCGTTCGTCCGTGTGCGTGTCCTTGCGTGTGTCCTTGTGTGTGTGTGTCTTTGCGTGTGTCCTTGTGTGTGTGTGTGTCCGTGTGTGTATCCGTGTGTATGTGTGTGCGTGTGTGTGGGGAGCGGTGGTGCAGCGGTTAGCGCTACGCTGCGCTACGAACCCTCTGTTACCAGAGTTCGATTCCCGCTCACGGCCAACACCACCGGTGACGATTATCCGAACCGGTCCTGGGCCTCCCCTAGGTCGACTCGGCCTCAAATGAGTACCTAGTGCGGTGTGTGGTAAACATCGCCACTGGGGAGACAAAGTCAGCCGGGCGTGGTGGTGCTGGCCACCCACCCCCTCGTGTGCCGTGCCGGCCTTCATAGGTGCTCGCGAACAGCACTTGCCCCTGCAGTCCGTTAAGGCTACACGGGGGACCTTTGTCTTTGTGCGTAGTCCTGTCCGTGGGACTCGGACGTACGGGAGCTGCGCGCCGATTGCCACGAGCGGATGGGGAACCTGGGCAAAGCGATCCAGGACCTGAAGCCGACGACGAAACTGCGGAACGACAACACGGCCGCTCACCTGCGCATCAGCCGGCTGCACTACAGCCTGGGCGAGCAGGACGACTCGCTCACGTGAGTCGCTCACTCGCTCGCTCAGTCGCTCACTCAGTCACTCGCTCAGTCACTCACTCGCTTGCCCAGTCACTCACTCGCTCAGTCACTCGCCCAGTCACTCACTCGCTTGCTCAGTCACTCACTCGCTCAGTCACTCGCTCAGTCACTTGCTCAGTCATTCGCTCAGTCGCTCAGTCGCTCAGTCGCTCACTCGCTCACTCGCTCAGTCACTTGCTCAGTCATTCGCCCAGTCGCTCACTCGCTCACTCGCTCAGTCACTTGCTCAGTCATTCGCTCAGTCGCTCACTCGCTCACTCGCTCACTCGCTCAGTCGCTCACTCGCTCACTCGCTCAGTCGCTCAGTCGCTCAGTCGCTCAGTCGCTCACTCGCTCACTCGCTCAGTCACTTGCTCAGTCATTCGCCCAGTCGCTCACTCGCTCACTCACTCGCTCACTCGCTCAGTCACTTGCTCAGTCATTCGCCCAGTCGCTCACTCGCTCACTCACTCGCTCACTCGCTCAGTCACTTGCTCAGTCATTCGCCCAGTCGCTCACTCGCTCACTCACTCGCTCACTCGCTCAGTCACTTGCTCAGTCATTCGCTCAGTCGCTCACTCGCTCACTCGCTCACTCGCTCAGTCGCTCACTCGCTCACTCGCTCAGTCGCTCAGTCGCTCACTCAGTCCACGAAACTGCGCAACGACAACACGGCCGCTCACCTGCGCATCAGCCGCCTGCACTACAGCCTGGGCGAACAGGACGACTCGCTCACGTGAGTCGCTCGCTCGCTCGTCGCCCCAGCAGCAAATCTAATTGCTCGCTCGGTCACTCGCTCAGTCGCTCGCTCGCTCGGTCACTCGCTCAGTCGCTCGCTCGCTCGCTCAGTCGCTCGCTTGCTCAGTCGCTCAGTCACTCATTCGCTCACTCGCTCAATCGCTCGCTCGCTCACTCGCTCAGTCACTCGCTCACTCGCTCAGTCACTCGCTTGCTCAGTCACTCAGTCATTCAGTCACTCACTCGCTCAGTCACTCACTCACTCGCTCAGTCACTCACTTGCTCAGTCACTCAGTCGTTCAGTCACTCACTCGCTCAGTCACTCACTCGCTCACTCAGTCACTCACTTGCTCAGTCACTCAGTCGTTCAGTCACTCACTCGCTCAGTCGCTCGTTCGCTCACTCAGTCACTCACTTGCTCAGTCACTCAGTCGTTCAGTCACTCACTCGCTCAGTCACTCACTCGCTCACTCAGTCACTCACTTGCTCAGTCACTCAGTCGTTCAGTCACTCACTCGCTCACTCAGTCACTCACTTGCTCAGTCACTCAGTCGTTCAGTCACTCACTCGCTCACTCAGTCACTCACTTGCTCAGTCACTCAGTCATTCAGTCACTCACTCGCTCACTCAGTCACTCACTTGCTCAGTCACTCAGTCATTCAGTCACTCACTCGCTCACTCAGTCACTCACTTGCTCAGTCACTCAGTCATTCAGTCACTCACTCGCTCACTCAGTCACTCACTTGCTCAGTCACTCAGTCATTCAGTCACTCACTCGCTCACTCAGTCACTCACTTGCTCAGTCACTCAGTCATTCAGTCACTCACTCGCTCACTCAATCACTCACTTGCTCAGTCACTCAGTCATTCAGTCACTCACTCGCTCACTCAGTCACTCACTTGCTCAGTCACTCAGTCATTCAGTCACTCACTCGCTCACTCAGTCACTCACTCGCTCAGTCACTCAGTCGTTCAGTCACTCACTCGCTCACTCAATCACTCACTTGCTCAGTCACTCAGTCGTTCAGTCACTCGCTCAGTCCACGAAACTGCGCAACGACAACACGGCCGCTCACCTGCGCAGCAGCCGCCTGCACTACAGCCTGGGCGAGCAGGACGACTCGCTCACGTGAGTCGCTCGCTCGCTCACTCGCTCGCTTGGGCACTCGCTCAGACACTCACTCGCTCAGTCATTCGCTCGCGTGAGTCGCTCGCTCGCTCAGTCGCTCGATCGCTCATCACCCCAGCAGCAAATCTAATTGCTCGCTCAGTCACTCGCTCACTCGCTCACTCATTCGCTCAGTCGCTCACTCGCTCAGTCGCTCGCTCACTCAGTCACTCAGTCACTCGCTCGCTCAGACACTCATTTGCTCACTCGCTCAGTCGCTCAGTCGCTCGCTCGCTCAGTCACTCACTCACTCGCTCGCTCAGTCGCTCGCTCAGTCGCTCGCTCGCTCGCTCGCTCGCTCAGTCGCTCGCTCGCTCAGTCGCTCGCTCGCTCAGTCGCTCGCTCGCTCAGTCGCTCGCTCAGTCACTCACTCACTCACTCAGTCGCTTGCTCACTCACTCACTCAGTCGCTCACTCGTTTGCTCACTCGCTCAGTCACTCACTCGCTCAGTCAGTCAGTCGCTCACTCGTTTGCTCAGTCGCTCACTCGTTTGCTCACTCACTCAGTCACTCACTCGTTTTGTCAGTCGCTCAATCGCTCACTCGCTCAGTCGCTCACTCGTTTGCTCACTCGCTCAATCGCTCACTCGCTCAGTCGCTCACTCGTCCCCTACCCCCCCCCCTACTCCTCCTACCCCATGACCCCCGCGTGACCCCCGCGTGACCCCCGCGTGACCCCCGCGTGACCCCGCAGGGAGATCCGCGAGTGCCTGAAGCTGGACCCGGACCACGCGGCGTGCCTGGCTCACTACCGCCAGGTCAAGAAGCTAAGTCGGCAGCTCGAGGCGGCCGAGAGCCTCATCGCCGAATCCAGGTGGGCCACACGCCACACCCCCCCGCCCCGCCACGGCCCGGTAGTGGCCGCCACGGCCTGCCACAGCCTGCCAGAGCCTGCCAGAGACTGCCACGGCCTCGCCATAGACTACTGTAGCCTGCCAGAGACTGTCACAGCCTGCCAGAGACTTGCCATAGACTACTGTAGCCTGCCAGAGACTGCCACAGCCTGCCAGAGACTTGCCATAGACTACTGTAGCCTGCCATAGCCTGCCATAGCCTGCCGTAGCCTGCCACAGCCTGCCAGAGACTTGCCATAGACTACTGTAGCCGCCATAGCCTGCCACAGCCTGCCATAGCCTGCCACAGCCTGCCAGAGACTTGCCATAGACTACTGTAGACTGCCATAGCCTGCCACGGCCTGCCAGAGACTGCCAGAGACTGTCACAGCCTGCCAGAGACTTGCCATAGACTACTGTAGCCTGCCATAGCCTGCCATAGCCTGCCATAGCCTGCCACAGCCTGCCATAGCCTGCCATAGCCTGCCATAGCCTGCCACGGCCTGCCAGAGACTGCCAGAGCCTGCCACAGCCTCGCCATAGACTACTGTAGCCTGCCCTAGCTTGCCATAGCCTGCCACGGCCTGCAAGAGACTGTCAGAAACTGCCACGGCCTGCCAGAGACTGCCAGAGACTTCCATGGCCTCGCCATAGACTACTGTAGCCTGCCATAGCCTGCCATAGCCTGCCACAGCCTGCCAGAGACTCTCAGAGACTGCCACAGCCTGCCATGGCCTCGCCATAGACTGCCATAGCCTGCCACGGCCTGCCACGGGCTGCCAGAGCCTGCCAGAGCCTGCCATAGCCTGCCAGAGCCTGCCAGAGCCTGCCAGAGCCTGCCATAGCCTGCCAGAGCCTGCCACAGCCTGCCAGAGACTCTCAGAGACTGCCACAGCCTGCCATGGCCTCGCCATAGACTGCCATAGCCTGCCACGGCCTGCCACGGGCTGCCAGAGCCTGCCAGAGCCTGCCATAGCCTGCCATAGCCTGCCAGAGCCTGCCAGAGCCTGCCATAGCCTGCCATAGCCTGCCACAACCTGCCAGAGACTCTCAGAGACTGCCACAGCCTGCCATGGCCTCGCCATAGACTGCCATAGGCTGCCACGGCCTGCCACGGGCTGCCAGAGCCTGCCATAGCCTGCCATAGCCTGCCATAGCCTGCCATAGCCTGCCAGAGCCTGCCATAGCCTGCCATAGCCTGCCATAGCCTGCCACAGCAATGGCGCGCTTTCAAACGCTCCGCGCACGCGGCCGTCTGGAGCGCGCTCTCCTCCTCCCGACATTCGGTCGCCACTGGGAGCCGTGATGCCGCTTTCACATCGTCGTCGTCGTCGTCGTCCACATTGGCGTTGCCCTCCCGCCCCTTTTGCACGCAAGCGCCGCCTTTGGCAAGCGCCGCCCTCGGCAAGCGCTGCCCTCGGCAAGCGCCGCTGCCCCCTCCCCCCCCGAACGCAGCACTTGCCACCTCCACGGTGTGTTTTGAGGCCTGCAACTGTGGTGGTGGTGGTGGTGGCGGTGGCGGTGGTGACGGTGGTGGTGCTGGTGCTGGTGGTGTTGCTGGTGCTGGTGGTGGTGGTGGTGTTGTTGATGGTGGTGGTGGTGTTGCTGGTGGTGGTGTTGGTGTTGGTGGTGCTGCTGGTGGTGATGGTGCTGGTGGTGGTGGTGTTGTTGGTGGTGGTGGTGTTGCTGGTGGTGGTGGTGGTGGTGTTGTTGATGGTGCTGGTGGTGGTGTTGTTGATGGTGCTGGTGGTGGCGGTGTTGTTGATGGTGCTGGTGGTGGTGTTGTTGATGGTGTTGCTGGTGGTGTTGTTGTTGATGGTGGTGGTGGCGGTGTTGTTGATGGTGTTGCTGGTGGTGTTGTTGTTGATGGTGGTGGTGGCGGTGTTGTTGATGGTGTTGCTGGTGGTGGTGTTGTTGATGGTGCTGGTGGTGTTGCTGGTGGTGGTGTTGTTGATGGTGGTGGTGTTGTTGATGGTGGTGGTGGTGTTGATGGTGCTGGTGGTGGTGTTGTTGTTGTTGATGGTGCTGGTGGTGGTGGTGTTGTTGATGGTGGTGGTGTTGTTGATGGTGGTGGTGGTAGTGGTGTTGTTGATGGTGGTGGTGTTGTTGATGGTGCTGGTGGTGGCGGTGTTGTTGATGGTGCTGGTGGTTGTGGTGTTGTTGATGGTGGTGGTGTTGTTGATGGTGCTGGTGGTTGTGGTGTTGTTGATGGTGGTGGTGGTGTTGACGGTGGTGGTGTTGTTGCTGGTGGTGGTGCTGGTGGTGTTGTTGATGGTGGTGGTGGTGTTGACGGTGCTGGTGGTGTTGTTGATGGTGGTGGTGTTGATGGTGGTGGTGTTGACGGTGCTGGTGGTGGTGCTGGTGGTGGTGGTGGTGTTGTTGATGGTGGTGGTGTTGACGGTGGTGGTGGTGGTGTTGTTGATGGTGCTGGTGGTGGTGGTGTTGTTGATGGTGCTGGTGGTGGTGGTGTTGTTGATGGTGCTGGTGGTGGTGGTGTTGTTGATGGTGCTGGTGGTGGTGGTGTTGTTGATGGTGCTGGTGGTGGTGGTGTTGTTGATGGTGCTGGTGCCGGTCGGTGTGCCGCAGGTACGATGAGGCGGTGGCCAAGCTGGAGGCGGTCAAGAAGACGGAGGCTTCGGTGGCCGTGTACGCGGCACGCGCCGATGAGCGCATCTGTCACTGCCTCTCGAAGGTAGCGGAGACCAGAGGTCGCTAACGTGGTTTTGATTCCGATTGAAAGCTTTCGTGACTGCAGCATGGATTCATCTTCTTGGTTCTTTCGGTAAAGTCACGTAGAAGGGAAGTAATAAAATAATAAAAATAAAACATATTTTATTATGTTTTATTTTTGTAATTTTATTACTTCCCTTCTACGTGACTTTACCGAAAGAACCAAGAAGAGGGTTTTGATTCCTTACCCGTACCCGGCCGCACCAGGGTCGCAAACTCTCCCACTCACTCACCCACCCACCAATTCAGCTACTCACTCACCCACTCGCTCACCCACCCACTCACTCAACCACTCACTCACTCACGAACTCACTCACTCACCCACCCACGCACTCACCCACTCACCCACGCACCCACTTACTCACCCACCCACTCACCCACTCACTCACCCACTCACCCACTCACTCACCCACTCACCCACGCACCCACTTACTCACCCACCAACCAGAGGTCGCAAACGGGTTTTGATTCCTTACCCGTACCCGGCCGCACCAGGGTCGCAAACGGGTACCCGTACCCGTACCTGGCCGGGTACGGGTATCCGGGTATCGGGTTGGGTACGGGTATCGGGTTGGGTACGGGTATCGGGTACCCAGTTGTGACCTCTGGCAGAGACTAAGGTTGCCACCCCTCCCCTCCTCACCCCACCCCACACACAAAACAATCTCCCCGTGTCGCCTTGAACAGACTCTAGATTTGAAGCTTTCGTCACTGCAAGGATTCATATTCTTGGGTTTTTTCGGTAAAGTCAATTAAAATTTTGTTACCTACGTGACTTTACCGAAAAAACCCTAGAATATTGAACAGGCTCGTTGGTTCTTTGGGTAAAGTCACGTAGGTCGAACACTAAAATAGAACAAGGGAATGATGTTTCGATTTAAAGCTTTCGTGACTGCAAGGATTCATCTTCTTGGTTCTTTCGGTAAAGTCATCACGTAGAAGGGAAATAATCAAATAATAAAAATATGAAACGTAATAAGATGAAATTCTCACGACGTTTCGGCCACAACGCACGCAGCCGTCCTCAGGTGAAGAAAAGGGGTTTCGGAAAGACGGCGTTCTAATTATGGTTTATTTTTGACCCAGCTTAAAAATACGCTGCCAAGCCTAGCGGTGTTTCATTAGGATGCTGTCTTCCCGACAGACCTGTTCTTCACCTGAGGACGGCTGCTTGTGTTGTGGCCGAAACGTCGTGAGAATTTTATCCTGTTATGTTTTATTTTTATTATTTTATTATTTCCCTTCTACGTGACTTTACCGAAAGAGCCAAGAACAACGAAATAACACATCGCGACGTTTCGATCGTAGCGTGGCCGGCGTTGCAATCATCGTCGTCATCACGTGGGAATTCATAGCGGCAGCCAAAAGACTCTGCTGAATGCGTGACGTTGATTCGAAATGTGGAGGGGAAAACGGGAGGGCCCGGTGAAAAATCCACGCAACCGCCACGGAGAGAGAGAGACGCAAACTTCAAATATACAGCAGCAGGCGTCATCAGGGTCGTGATTGAGCCCACGACCTCCTGTGTACCAGGCGAGGTAGTCAACATCTCATAGCCACCGTGATGATGATGAGAGAGAGAGGCACACAGACTCCAAATAAACAGCAGCAGCAGGCGTCGTCAGGGTCGTGATCTAACCCACGACTTCCTGTACACCAGGCGAGGTAGTCAACATCTCCTAGCCACCGTGGTGATGATGATGAGAGAGAGAGAGACACGCAAACTCCAAATATACAGCAGCAGGCGTCGTCAGGGTCGTGATCGAACCCAAGACCTCCTGCGTACCAGGCGAGGTAGTCAACTTCTCCTAGCCACCGTGATGATGATGAAAGAGCGAGAGAGGCACGCAGACTCCAAATAAACAGCAGCAGGCGTCGTCAGGGTCGGGATCAAACCCACGACCTCCTGTATACCAGGCGAGGTAGTCAACATCTCCTAGCCACCGTGATGATGAGAGACGCAAACTCCAAATATACAGCAGCAGCAGGCGTCGTCAGGGTCGTGATCGAACCCACGACCTCCTGCACACCAGGCGAGGTAGTAAACATCTCCTAGCCACCGTGGTTACTGTCACCCGCCCCCCCACACTCATCGCCTCTCCCGCCTCTCCGTGCCCCCCCCCACCACCACCACCACCACCCGCAGAGCGAGGAGCGGACGGCGGATGCGGTGCGAGCGTGCAGCCTGGTGCTCGACCGCGATCCAGACAACGTCGGCGCGCTGCGAGACCGCGCGGAGGCTCACATCGCGAATGAGGAATACGAGGAAGGTACGGTGGGACGCGCTGTCTCTCGCGTGTGCGACGCCTTGAACACTTGCCGATGATGACGACGATGACGCACGTACTAGGGCGGAAACGTATTCTTGGTTTAGTAGTAGGTTTTTAAATCCTTTATTAAATCCTTTATATTAAGTTCACTTGCTTGCTTGCTTACGACCATGTAAATCTTTCGGTCGTTTTTTAACCCACTTACTGTGATCCAATCGAGCTGACATTTTGCACACAGACTCGTTGTGCGTGACAATTAATGTTTGTGGAAAAAAATGTTGCAAAATTTTACACTTTTTAGGACAAAAATATTATATTTAATTACTAATTGCTTAATGGTGCAATGCAATCATCTGACCCATAGGTGGCAGCCATCTCAAGCCAGAGGACGAGAGGACTCTAGCCGCCACGCATATAAAGGATTTATAGTGAAAAACTTTGTTTTTACAGGTTATACTTATTATCCTTTCAACTGGTACAAAAACTGACACCTTTATACAAGGCATCATGTTTGCAATAACCACAACACAAGCAGTCAAAATGCAAACAAAAAGAAACAACTCTGATGATGGTAATGATATGCACTGTCCTTGAAGTTGATTGGCCCACACCCCCCACCCCCCCTATTCCCCCACCCCCCCCTTACCCCCCACCCCCTATCCCCTACCCCCCACCCCCCACCCCCTACGCCCCCCCTCTACCCCCCCCCCCCCCCCCCAGCGGTGGCTGACTACGAGCGAGCGAGGGGGGTTGATGAGTCAGCTCCGGGCGTGCGCGAGGGCCTGGACAAGGCCCAGAAGCTGCTCAAGCAGTCCCAGCGCCGGGACTACTACAAGATCCTCGGGGTCAAGAGGTCGGTGCCACACCACCGCCCACCGCTCGTGACGCTAGCGCGGGGGGGGGGGGCTCCGATAATCGTCGTCGTCGTCGTCATCATCACGCGGGAGTTCATAGCCACCCCACAGAGACGATCACCCCTCTCTGTACCTGTGTTGCTCTCTCTGTGTGTATCTTGGTGATATCTGTCTGCTTATATGTCTGTCTATAGTTTCATGGTTAGATTTTATGTCGCTATTTCATTATACCTGATGATGATGATTGCGTGTGTCGCAATCGATACGTCGTAATATGCTATTATTTAATTTATTATTTTATCTTCAGACGTGACTTTACCGAAAGAACCAAATAATAATTCCTGCAGTCACGAAAGTTCTAAAATTAAGATTGAAGTTCTAAAATTAAGATCTCCTAGCCACCGTGATGATGATGAGAGAGACACGCAAACTCCAAATATACAGCAGCAGCAGGCATCGTCAGGGTCGTGATCGAACCCATGACCTCCTGTACACCAGGCGAGGTAGTCAACATCTTCTCGGCAACCCTGCCATGTGTGTCTCCCCCCCCCCCCCCCCCCCCCCCCCCCCCCCCCGTGCCCCCCCCCCGTGCCCCCCCATCCCCCGTGTGAAGGTCTGCCAAGAAGCAGGAGATCGTGAAGGCGTACCGCAAGCTGGCGCAGCAGTGGCACCCGGACAACTTCCAGTCGGAGTCCGAGAAAAAGAAAGCCGAGAAGCACTTTATCGACATCGCGGCGGCTAAGGAGGTCCTCACAGACCCCGGTACAGCTCGCTCACTCACTCGCTCACTCGCTCGCTCGCCCGCTCACTCATTCGCTCGCTCGCTCACTCATTCGCTCGTCCGCTCACTCACTCACTCGCTCTCACTCGCCCGCTCGCTCTCTCTCTCACTCGCCCTCTCACTCATTCGCTCGCCCGCTCACTCGCTCTCTCACTCATTCGCTCACTCGCTCTCTCACTCGCCCGCTCACTCGCTCTCTCACTCGCCCGCTCGCTCGCTCTCACTTGCCCGCTCGCTCTCTTTCTCACTCGCCCTCTCACTCATTCGCTCGCCCGCTCACTCGCTCTCTCACTTGCCCGCTCGCTCTCTCACTCGCCCACTCATTCGCTCGCCGCTCGCTCGCTCTCACACGCCCGCTCTCTCGCTCTCACTCGCCTGCTCACTCACTCACTCGCTCGCCCGCTCACTCACTCATTCAATCACTCATTCGCTCGCTACCATCACCCACCCACCATCACCCACCCCACTCTCCTTCACCCACCCACCCACACCCCATCACCCACCTATTATCACCCACCCACCATCACCCACCCACCCACCATCACCCACCCACCCACCATCACCCACACCCTATCACCCACACACCATCACCCCCCTACACCCCATCACCCACACACCCACCCACCATCACCACCACCTACCCACCCACCCACCATGACCCACCCTCGCTAACGCTCCCTCCTCCGCGTCTCCCCCCTCTCTCCCCGCCCCACAGAGAAGCGGAGCAAGTTCGACTCGGGAGAGGACCCCCTGGATCCCGAAAGTCAACAGGGCGGTGGTGGCAACCCCTGGCAAAGGGGGGGCGGCGGGGGTGGCTGGCACCCTTTCCCGGGGGGCTTCAACCCCTTTGGTTCTGGAGGACCCCAATTCAAGTTCCACTTCAACTGAGGACAGCGTCTGGGGGGGGGGGCCCCCCTTACGATCAAACCGTACCCCCCCCACCACCACCGCCACCACCACCACGCGGTCATCCGCTCCGATCGACGCTCGGTGAATCCGGTCCAGATGTTGTCACCCCCCGCCCGCTCCACCCGCATCCCCCCCACCCCCCTTCCCATCTCTCCGGCTTTTCCACGATTTTCTTTCACCGATTCGCCCACCCACCACCCACTCACGCGTACACCACGCACAACACACACGCCATACCACGCACACATCACACACACCACACACACCACCCACCCCACACACACCACACCACACCACACACACCGCACACACCGCACACACCACGCACACACCACGCACACACCACGCACACACCACGCACACACCACACACACCACACACACCACCCCACGCGCACACCACACATACCACACCACACACACCACACACACCACACACCACACACACACCACTCACACACCACACCACACACACCACACACCACACACCACACACACACCACACACACACACACACCACACACACCACACACTCCACCCACCCCACACCACACACCACACACACACCACACACACACCACACACCACCCACCCCACACCACACACACACCACACACCCACACACACACCACACACCACACACACCACCCACACCACCCACACACACCACACACACCACTTCACGTGGCCTCAACGTGCACCTGGCCTGGCACGGGCGTGCCGTGGTAACGTCACCGTCACTTAAATTTGCCGGGCTACCGCCATCGGTAGTGCGGTGGTAGTACCCGGGCATCGGCCAGCGTCCCGCTCGCGGTCCTGGGCCTCCCCTAGGTCGACTCGGCCTCAAATGAGTTCTCCGGCGCCTGCGTGCGTGCATGCGTGTGTGTGTGCGTGTGTGTGCGTGTGTATGTGTGCGTGCGTGCGCGTGCGTGCGTGTGTGTGCGTGTGTGTGCGTGTGTATGTGTGCGTGCGTGCGCGTGCGTGCGTGTGTGTGCGTGTGTGCGTGTGTGTGTGTGCGTGTGTATGTGTGCGTGCGTGTGTGTGTGTGTGTGTGCGTGCGTGTGTCGTAAACATCGCCGTTGGGGTGTTGGCCACCCACCCCCTCGTGTGCCACAGTGCCGGCCTTCATAGGCGCTGCAGCTCGCTACTCGCAGCACTTGCCCCGACAGCCTGTTGGAGGCTACGCGGGGGTCCTTTGTCTGTGTGTCTACAGGTGCTGCTTGCTACTCGCAGCACTTGCTCCTACAGCCTGTTGGGAGGCTACGCGGGGGACCTTTGTCTGTGTGTCTACAGGTGCTGCTTGCTACTCGCAGCACTTGCCCCTACAGCCTGTTGGAGGCTCCGCGGGGGACCTTTGTCTGTGTGTCTTCAGGTGCTGCTCGCTACTCGCAGCACTTGCCCCTACAGCCTGTTGAGGCTACACGGGTGGGGTGGATCTTTTGTTTCTGGGTTGGCGTGCGGTTTCCTGTTTGGTTCGCGACCGATTTTCTCACCTCTCGCTCTCTCCATGAACACAGTTCTTGAGCTTTAAAACGATCCTGTACCTTAATTATTCTTGGATGGGGGCGAGGTTGTCGCTCACAATTCTTTACCAGCACTGCGCACAGAAGGGGAGAGAGAGAGGTTAAAGAAGAGAATATGACGATGGGAACGGCTCGCGACACAGCCGACCTTTGTAAATATTTCAAGTGCGACCCCTTTGGAGGTCATCACGGAACAGAGGTCGCAAACGGGTTTTGATTCCTTACCCGTACCCGTACCCGGCCGCACCAGGGTCGCAAACGGGTACCTGTACCCGTACCCTACCCGTACCCGGCCGGGTATCGGGTAGGGTACAGGTATCGGGTACCTGATTGCGACCTCTGGGATGAAGCCATGTTGCAGGCGCGGGTGGGTTGATTCTAGGAACTTGAATTGTGAGAAGAGACAAGACGTTGGGAAATGAGTGACAAACGGTGACTCACCAGTGACTCACGGCCTACCCGTACCCAGCCGTACCAGGGTCGCAAACGGGTACCCGTACCCGTACCCGGCCGGGTAGCCGGGTATCGGGTAGGGTACGGGTATCGGGTACCCGGTTGCGACCTCTGACGGGGAGTAAGGGCAGATTTCTAAGCGGAAGATGATGACGACGACGACGACGGAGAAACGAAACCTCCACCAAACGCGATGACTCCTTTGGACTCGCGCGAATTCACGACAAGTCGTGGACTTCTATGTTTGGGCCAGAATTTGAATGTTTAATGGAGCTGTGGCAAGACCGTTGGTCTTCTTGATTTGAAGCTTTCGTGACGACAGGAATGCGTACTCTGGTTCTGTCGGTAAAGTCACGTGGGTAGAGAAAAGTGAATTTCGATTGAAAGCTTTCGTGACTGCAGGGATTCATCTTGTTGGTTCTTTCGGTAAAGTCACGTAGAAGGGAAATAAAATAATAAAAATAAAACATTAAACTATTCTCACGACGTTTCGGCAACAACGCAAGCAGCCATCCTCAGGTGAATGAATAATATACTCTGCCAAGCTTGGTGGTGTTCATTTAGACGCTGTCTTCCCGACAGACCTGTTCTTCACCTGAGGACGGCTGCTTGCGTTGTGGCCGAAACGTCGTGAGAATTGTATTTTAGTGCGTTTGATTTTTATTATTTTATTATTTCCCTTCTACGTGACGACTTTACCGAAACAACCAAGAAGATTGACAAAAGTAACGAAAGAAAACGCGACGTTTCGGCCGCAGCCACAAGCGTCCGTCTTCAGGTGAGAAAAATGTATCTGCAGATAATTTTCTCACCTGAATCGGCAGACCGTTTTCTGCTGTTGTGGCTTCACATAAAGCCACAACGCCAGATAATTTTCTCACCTGAATTGGCAAATCGTTTTCTGCTGTTGTGGCTTCATATTAAGCCGCAACGCCAGATTATTTTCTCACCTGAATCGGCAGATGATTTTCTCTCGCCTGAAGACGGACGCTTGTGGCTGCGACCGAAACGTCGTGTGTTCTTTCGTTACTTTTGCCTGCCCGCGTGACTTTACCCAAAGAACCAGGAGCGTATCGTTGTTGTTGGTTGTTGTTGTTGTTGTTGGTTGTTGTTGTTGGGCGACGTTATTTGTCCCGGGCGACGCCGCGCTCAAAAACCCCGAAAACGGGTCGCGTCGCTCCGGGCGATCCCGAACGCGCTCTACAGCGCAGTGGTTGCAATATCTTCACGACGGGTGAGGGGCGGGCGGTTGAGTGATGCCCATTGGCTGTGTGGCTGTGACGTCATCCGCTTAGTGGTGATGCGGGGGAGGGGGGGGGGGGTCGGGTTCTGTTGATTGGTTGGTCGATTGATCGGTTGGTCGATTGATCAGTCGATTGATCGGTTGGTCGATTGATCGATCATTCGATTTATCAGTCGATTGATTGGTCCGGTCGATTGATCAGTCGATTGATCGGTTGGTCGATTGATCGATCATTCGATTTATCGGTCGATTGCTTGGTCCGGTCGATTGATCAGTCGATTGATCGGTTGGTCGATTGATCGATCATTCGATTTATCGGTCGATTGATTGGTCGGTCGATTGATCAGTCGATTGATCGGTCGATTGATCGATCATTCGATTGATCGGTCGATTGATCGGTTGGTCGATTGATCGATCATTCGATTTATCGGTCGATTGATCGGTTGGTCGATTGATCGATCATTCGATTTATCGGTCGATTGATCAGGCCGGTCGGTCGATCGATCGGTAGCATTCGCTCTTAAATTCGTACCTAATATTTGTCGTGGTGTGTGTTTATTTCGGCACGAGAGATCTTGGGAAATCCGCGTTTCTTTCTTTGAATTGTCCAGGACCGCTGCTGGTGCACATGGGGGGGGGTGCGGGGAGGGAGGGGGGCGAGATTTCGCTGCGTAACAACTAAATATTAAGTTCCTGGCTAGTAAGCGTTGTTTCCCAATTGCTTATATGCCTCAAAAGCACAGAAAGTGGCTATCATTCCCCCACAAACTTTGCTTCTGTGAGCAGGAGAGTGATTTTTCGATTTAAAGCTTTCGTGACTGCAGGGATTCATCTTCTTGGTTCTTTCAGGTAAAGTCACGTAGAAGGGAAGTAATGAAATAATAAAAATGAAACATAATAAAATAATTCTCACGACGTTTCGGCTACAACGCAAGCAGCCGTCTTCAGGTGAAGAATGAGACACTGCCAAGCTAGGAGCTTGTATATAAGCTGGATAGGAGGTGGAAGAGGAGCGCCTTAACAAAAGAATGTGCATATGAAGAGGAATTTAGCATATTCATTCTTCACCTGAAGACGGCTGCTTGCGTTGTAGCCGAAACGTCGTGAGAATTATTTTATTTAATTATGTTTTATTTTTATTGTTTAATTACTTCCCTTCTACGTGACTTTACTGAAAGAACCAAGAACAGGAGAGTTATATTTAGAAATGTACCTATTTTCAGTGAGAAAAAGTGATGTGCATTCGTGTCTTTTGTGCACGCGAAGTCCCGCTTGCAAAAGCAAAGTTTGTGTTCTTAGTTTGTTGGGTAAAGTCACCATGTAGGTAAAAAAAAATGAAATAAAAATTAATAAAAAATAAAATAATAAAAATCACGACGTTTCGGAGGCAACACAAGTCTCCGTCTGCTTGATTCTGTCGGTCAAAGTCACGTAGAATGTAAATAATAAAATAATGAAAATTAATCATGCTAAAGTAATTATTTTATTATAATAAAAATAAAATGTAATAAAATAATTATTTTATTACGTTTCAGATTTATTTTGTTATTATTTTATTACTTCCATTCTACGTGACTTCACCGAAAGAACCAAGAAGATTAATTCCCTGCAGTCACGAAAGCTTTAAATCGAAATTTGTGTTCTTAGTTTTTTGGGTAAAGTCACCATGTAGGTAAAAAAAATGAAATAAAAATTTATAAAAAATAAAATAATACAAAATCACGACGTTTCGGAGGCAACAAATCAGGTGGGACCGTCACAGCCAGATTTGCTGCATCAAGTGAGGCAGGGATTCCAAGATGCATTTTCTTAAATACAAGTTTAGGGAGGAACTAAGAACTTGCATCTTGATGACACACGTGCGTTGCCTCCGAAACGTGATTTTTATTAATTTCAATTCCAATTTTTTACCTACGTGACTTTACCAAAAAAACTCTAAAAGTATGAATCCTTGCAGTCACGAAAGCTTCAAATCTACAAAGTTTTTTTGTGCTGGAATAACAGCCACTTTCTCTACCTTTTTTGAGGCATCAGCAATTAGGAAAATGACACTCGCTACCCAGGGGAACAGGACATCATCGTGTTGTATCGCGTCATCGAAAGCCTCTTGTGTGACTATTATTTCCCGAACCGGGAAAAAGAAAAAAAAATCAAGAAAAAAAAATTTGTCATTAAAAAAATATATTTGTTCAAATCGACACACGGGGGCTGGGCTTGGTGATGGTTGTTGTTGAATATTTAAACTTTAAACGGGGGGTGGAACATCTAGAACATTAAAACAACACGCAACACGCACGCGGCTTTATCTAATCGCGTTTGTGTTTCTCGTCTGTTTGGAGGGGTGGTGGTGGAGGAGGAGGAGGATTGTTTATTTTGTAAAATAAATACCAAGTGTGAAGACACGGTGAGAGTGTGTGAATGTTGAGTGTGTGAATGTTGTACGAGTGTGTGTGTGAATGTTGTGTGAGTGTGTGTGTGAATGTGAGTGTTCGTGTGTGAATGTGAATGTTCGTGTGAATGTTATCTATGGTCCACAACAGAGGTCGCAACCGGGTACCCGATACCCGTACCCGGCTACCCGTACCCGGGTACAGGTACCCGTTTGCGACCCTGGTGCGGCCGGGTACGGGTAGGCCGTGAGTCACTGGTGAGTCACCGTTTGTCACTCATTTCCCAACGTCTTGTCTCTTCTCACAATTCAAGTTCCTAGAATCAACCCACCCGCGCCTGCAACATGGCTTCATCCCAGAGGTCGCAACCAGGTACCCGATACCCGTACCGTACCCGGCCGGGTAGGGTACGGGTACGGCCGGGTACGGGTACCCGTTTGCGACCCTGGTGCAGCCGGGTACGGGTAGGCCGTGAGTCACTGGTGAGTAACCGTTTGTCACTCATTTCGGATAGGGTACGGGTAGGGAACGGCTACCCGTACCCGGCCGGGTACGGGTAGCCATTTGCGACCCTGGTGCGGCCGGGTACTGGTACGGGTAAGGAATCAAAACCCGTTTGCGACCTCTGGTTGGTGGGTGAGTAAGTGAGTGCGTGGGTGAGTGGGTGAGTGAGTGGGTGGGTGAGTGAGTGAGTAGCTGAATTGGTGGGTGGGTGAGTGGGTGGGTGAGTGGGAGAGTTTGCGACCCTGGTGCGGCCGGGTACGGGTAAGGAATCAAAACCCGTTTGCGACCTCTGGTTGGTGGGTGAGTAAGTGGGTGAGTGGGTGAGTGGGTGAGTGAGTGGGTGGGTGAGTGAGTGAGTAGCTGAATTGGTGGGTGGGTGAGTGGGAGAGTTTGCGACCCTGGTGCGGCCGGGTACGGGTAAGGAATCAAAACCCGTTTGCGACCTCTGGTTGGTGGGTGAGTAAGTGAGTGCGTGGGTGAGTGGGTGAGTGAGTGGGTGAGTGGGTGGGTGAGTGAGTGAGTAGCTGAATTGGTAGGTGGGTGAGTGGGTGGGTGAGTGGGAGAGTTTGCGACCCTGGTGCGGCCGGGTACGGGTAAAGAATTCAATACCCGTTTGCGACCTCTGGTTGGTGGGTGAGTAAGTGAGTGCGTGGGTGAGTGGGTGAGTGAGTGGGTGAGTGAGTGGGTGAGTGGGTGAGTGAGTGGGTGAGTGGGTGGTTGAGTGAGTGAGTAGCTGAATTGGTGGGTGGGTGAGTGGGTGGGTGAGTGGGAGAGTTTGCGACCCTGGTGCGGCCGGGTACGGGTAAAGAATTCAATACCCGTTTGCGACCTCTGGGTCCACAACACTCAGGAACTTCACCTCTCCTGAATGCGGATGGAACAACACTCCTCACAGAGAAGGACAAAATACTTGCAAGGTTTGCCAAACACTTCAACGCAGTTCTCAACCAGCCATCGTGCGCGAATGAGGAGGCAATTGCGAGAATGCCTCCAAGTTAAAATAAACCCTTGCTTTAAAGCTTTCGTGACTGCAGGGATTCATCTTCTTGGTTCTTTCGGTAAAGTCACGTAGAAGGGAAATAATAAAATAATAAAAATACAACAATACTATAATAGCATAAAATAAGAAATATAATATAAGAAAATAATATATTAAAACATTTTTAATATTTCCATTCAAAGCTTTCGTGACTGCAGGGATTCATCTTCTTGGTTCTTTCGGTAAAGTCACGTAGAAGGGAAATAATAAAAATAAAACATAATAAAATAATTCTCACGACGTTTCGGCCACAACAAAAGCAGTCGTCCTCAGGTGAAGAACAGGTCTGTCGGAAAGACAGCGTCTGAATGAGTCTTTCCGACAGACCTGTTCTTCACCTGAGGACGGCTGCTTGCGTTGTGGCCGAAACGTCGTGAGAATGATTTTATTCTGTTTTATTATTTTATTATTTCCCTTCTACGTGACTTTACCGAAAGAACCAAGAAGATAAACCCTTGCTGTTCCACCATCCATTGAGGAAACCACCAAAGCCACAAGCTTCCTCTCGCCAGGCAAAACTCCAGGCTCCGATGCCATTCCAGCGGAAATCTACAAGGCTGGAGGGGGCCTCGCTTAGTCGAGAAACTGACCGACCTCTTCAAGTCTCTGTGGAAATTAGAAGCCGTTCCCCAGGAGTTCAAGGATGCGCTCTACAATCCATATCTGTGTAATGTGAGGACACATCCGGGTTGCTGTTGGATTACACCTCGTGCGATGATTGTCTCTGCCGGTCCTGGCCCACAGCCAATGGGGAGAAGTCTAGGGGCGTGGCCCTGACGTCACGGGAAGGTGACAGCTGCAAGTAGATGATTGGTTCTGCTGGCTTTAGCCACAGCCAATGGGGGGACGAGTTAGGGGCGTGGCCTTGACGTCATGAGAAGGTGACATCTGTAAGTAGATGATTGGTTCTGCTGGCTTTGGCCACAGCCAATGGGGAGAAGTCTAGGGGCGTGGCCCTGACGTCACGGGAAGGTGACATCTGTAAGTAGATGATTGGTTCTGCTGGCTTTAGCCACAGCCAATGGGGGGACGAGTTAGGGGCGTGGCTCTGACGTCACGGGAAGGTGACATCTGTAAGTAGATGATTGGTTCCGCTGGCTTTAGCCACAGCCAATGGGTGGACGAGCTATGGGCGTGGCTCTGACGTCACGGGAAGGTGACAGCTGCAAGTAGATGATTGGTTCTGCTGGCTTTAGCCACAGCCAATGGGGGGACGAGTTAGGGGCGTGGCCCTGACGTCATGGGAAGGTGACAGCTGCGAGTAGAGGATTGGTTCTGCTGGCTTTAGCCACAGCCAATGGGGGGACGAGTCAGGGGCGTGGTCCTGGGAGCTTACGATGGAGTCTAGAAGATTCCATAGAGGCTAATCAGGATTGGTTGAAAGGTACCACGTGACCCGGGTATTAAAAGGGGTGGAGACGAACAACACGTGGTCAGATCTGGAACAGGGTCCAGGCTGCCACGTGGTCCAGGCTGCCCACGTGGTCCAGGCTGCCCACGTGGTCCAGGCTGCCCACGTGGTCCAGGCTGCCCACGTGGTCCAGGCTGCCCACGTGGTCCAGGCTGCCCACGTGGTCCAGGCTGCCCACGTGGTCCAGGCTGCCCACGTGGTCCAGGCTGCCCACGTGGTCCAGGCTGCCCACGTGGTCCAGGCTGCCCACGTGGTCCAGGCTGCCCACGTGGTCCAGGCTGCCCACGTGGTCCAGGCTGCCCACGGGGTCCAGGCTGCCACGTGGTCCAGGCTGCCACGTGGTCCAGGCTGCCACGTGGCCGCGCGTGTCTCCCTCTCACGCTGTCTGTCGGCAGCGTGAAGGAGTAAGATGGGAGTGTTGTGAGCGAAAGACAAATAAAGACCGGATTCTAGAAGTCGCTTCCACGAGCTTAATTACAGCTGCATCTCAGAGCTCCACATCAGAGGTCGCAAACGGGTTTTGATTCAATTTCGATTTAAAGCTTTCGTGACTGCAGGGATTCATCTTCTTGGTTCTTTCGGTAAAGTCATCACGTAGAAGGGAAGTAATAAAATAATAAAAATAAAACCTAATAAAATAATTCTCACGACGTTTCGGCCACAACGCAAGCAGCCGTCCTCAGGTGAAACCAGGTCTGTCGAGAAGACAGCGTCTGAATGAAACACCACCACGCTTGGAACGTATATTTAAGCTGGGTTGGAAGGGGGGAAGGGCGCCTTGACAAAAGAATTACCCGTACCCGGCTGGGTACGGGTACCCGTACGCTACTCATACCCTACCCGAAATGAGTGACAAACGGTTACTCACCGGTGACTCACGGCCTACCCGTACCCGGCCGCACCAGGGTCGCAAACGGCTACCCGTGCCCGGCCGGGTACGGGTAGCCGGGTATCGGGTAGGGTACGGGTATCGGGTACCCGGTTGCGACCTCTGCTCCACATCCTCCCTGACCTGTCCCAGTGTGCCACAGGGAATTCCGTGCTCGGAGGGGCCTGATCAGCCATCTGCGCACTCGTCAAAACCCAACACAATGACAAACGTGCCATGGTCATCATCAACTATGATGGACGAACAAGAGAGAGAGAGTGTATAGTGTAGTGTATAGTGTAGTGTATAGTGTAGTGTATAGTGTAGTGTATAGTGTAGTGTATAGTGTATAGTAGTGTATAGTAGTGTATAGTGTAGCATATAGTGTAGTGTATAGTGTAGTATATAGTGCAGTGTATAGTGTAGTGTATAGTGTAGTGTATAGTGTAGTGTATAGTGTATAGTAGTGTATAGTAGTGTATAGTGTAGCATATAGTGTAGTGTATAGTGTAGTATATAGTGCAGTGTATAGTGTAGTGTATAGTGTAGTGTATAGTGTAGTGTATAGTGTAGTATATAGTGCAGTGTATAGTGTATAGTAGTGTATAGTGTAGTGTATAGTGTAGTGTATAGTGTAGTATATAGTGCAGTGTATAGTGTAGTATATAGTGTAGTGTATAGTGTAGTGTATAGTGTAGTGTATAGTGTAGTGTATAGTGTAGTGTATAGTGTAGTGTATAGTGTATAGTAGTGTATAGTAGTGTATAATAGTGTATAGTGTAGTGTATAGTGTATAGTAGTGTATAGTAGTGTATAATAGTGTATAGTGTAGTGTATAGTGTATAGTAGTGTATAGTAGTGTATAGTGTAGCATATAGTGTAGTGTATAGTGTAGTATATAGTGCAGTGTATAGTGTAGTGTATAGTGTAGTGTATAGTGTAGTGTATAGTGTAGTATATAGTGCAGTGTATAGTGTAGTGTATAGTGTAGTATAGTGTAGTGTATAGTAGTGTATAGTGTAATGTATGGTGTAGTGTATAGTAGTGTATAGTGTAGTGTATAGTGCAGTGTATTGTGCAGTGTATAGTGCAGTGTATAGTAGTGTATAGTGTAGTGTATAGTGTAGTATATAGTGCAGTGTATAGTGTAGTGTATAGTGTAGTATAGTGTAGTGTAT